TTTTTCTTCTTCTCTTTTTTTTTAATGTTCTTTTTTTTTTCTTCTCCTTTTTATTTCTTTTTTTTTCTGTATGCCTTCGAGAGAGCATCAGGGACGGGGCAGCACCACCCGCCCAAATCCACAGGAGCCAGAGGCGTTGGTATGCATGTAATCTGGTCTTTTAATTGTGGGACTTTGCCCTTGTGTTGAGCTAGTTACAGAAAGCTTTTCTGCTCTGGCGTCTCAAAGATTAGTACGTAAAGTAGTTATCTGAACTTAAATGTTGCTGTGGTACTTCTTGGTATTTTCAGTGTTGTCAGTTGTTGCAGTAGAAGAAAATGCGTGAATGTTGGGGATTTTTAGAGGGAAGATGAAGGGTGAGTTTTGTTTGGGAGCGTTAGTAGAGGTTTTCCCCAGCTACTCGTTACATCCAGTACGCAGAACTCTGCAGAAATCTGCCAAGGAAGACTTGGTTTAAGCAATGAGGTAAGGATGAAGAGATGAATGTGGAGTGAGGGAAATAATATGAAAACAGAATTGGTGGAAGAAGAGGAGCAAAATATTGCAGTAGAAGAGATTTTATGGTCTTAGCACTTCAACCTTGAGGGCTCAGTGCTGGGGTTTTTTTTTTTCATGTTTGTTATGAGCATCATTTAAATGTTCACCCTGCTCTGCTGTCAAGAAATAGGAGCATGAAAATGGGTAAACTTCCAGAGCTGGTTTCCAAGGAATATCAGACCACTGCTTCCTATTTGAGGTTTCAGAATGATTTCCAATGGACTAGGTTAGTGGATATGAAGAAATGTCTTCCAAATGACTTTAAAACAAGATAGTGTGCAGCTCTTCTCTTGCCCTGTGCTTGCTTGAAGGTACAAGCATAATGACGCTGAAAGAAGGGAGACTTTTGCTAATGTGGCAGGGTTGCAGTTAGTCGTTGTTTTGGATTATACACTTAGTTCATCAAGTATTTGTTGATTCTTCAGGAACCGGCACGTATCTAGGAGATGGATTTAATAGAGTTTTTTAATTCTGCTGAATGTGTTGGCATGAGCAAAACATTTGGTATGCAAGGAAAGAGTATTAATTATTTAATTATGGTATGTGCTTGATAGTCTTGGGTATGGAAATAGAACTCCACAGGAATCAGATCAGCTGAAGTTTTAATAGAAAAACTGTCTATGTTCAAAACGGTAACAGTGCAATTGTCTGTGGTAACTGACTAGAGTGATTGTAAGTTCACATTTAGAATTTTATATTTTGTTTTTATTGTGTAACCTAGATTAACATCTGTAACATTTTCATAACTGTAACTAGTTTGGGTTTTCTTTTCTCTTGTACCTAAGTCATGGCCACTGATAGATTTCTCAAAAATCAACCTGTTAGGTTAGTGTTTGACAGAATTGCTGCCCCCTGTTCTTAACTATGTGGAATAGGTGCAGCCATTGATATGCTTGTTAGTACACGTGACAGCATGCATAGAGTTAATAAAAATATGTGTTTTGTCATCACTGGTGACTTAACTTCTAGGGTAAGAATACAGTGTAATGCTTTCATGGTTTGGGAAATACATCAGTACAGGCTAAATGTGATAATGCCTGTCTGAAGAGAAAAAAAATATAGAAGATAAATACACAGTGTTCTGCACTGTTTGTGTGGACTGTATTTTAGAAGTTTTAATGTCAGATTTTACAATAAATGAGGGGAATAAAGAATGGTGGGTACTTCTGTTGATTGTGTTTCTCTTTTTTGAATTTCTTTTGTTTGTGTAACTGTTTTATGTGCCCTATTTGAACTGATTGCAGTTTAAACTGGACTTGTTTTGCTTTTTTTTTTTTATTATCTGTAAATATAAAAAAGCTTTATTTGGTGAGAAACAAGATTTAAACAAGCTCTACTGTTTCACGTGCAAAAAATCTGCAACTCTCCCAAATTGATATGTATTAATTTGCATGGGGAAATACAGTCAGGATGTGGCTAGCAAAAGGCTCCTTTGGAGTCTTTGTGCATGCAAGCTGCAATTACAGTGAAGACACAGTTTTGCTGCTACTGCTTTTAAGCTGGGTTGGTTTCTACACACCTGTTTACCTAAAGCAGTGAGTTCTGTGAAACACGGGATTAAAGTGAATAGTTGAAGTGGGTATTCTGTAGCTCCTGCTGCTGTTGTTGATGTGTTGTGAATGACCTAAGAACTCCTCAAACAGCTCCTGAACTTCAGTGTTGAGCCTGCTGTGTTAAGGCAAAGGGGATGATTCCATCCTTGCAGCTGTTTAATTTTTACTGAATGTTGCATCTGGACTGGGGTTCTCTCTGGGCTTCTGTAGGCACTGTCAGGCTCTGTGCTGTTATGGCGCTGCTGCCTGAAGTATCTTAGATCATTATTTTACAGCTAATTTAATTCAGCACAACCTGCACCTACCTCAGTGACTATAAGCTAGTTTGTGGATTAACTAATTATTTTCTTTATTCTAAGCGATGTTGCAAACTGGAACTATTTTCTGAACGAAAATGGAAGGGAAATGAAACAGATTTAATGAAAGTTCGGTCTGTTTCCCAGCCTCTGAGTCTGGTGTAGTTCCTGCTCTAGCTCAGATCAGTGATTAAATAAGAAACACCTTTTTATAAAGAATGTGATGAAAAATAAATTTTTTCGGGTGGATGCCTTTACCTTGTTCCCTGAAGTTGTTAAAAAATTCTGAATTTACTGTTCCTGCCTAACTAACAAGTATTCTGAAATAATATGTGATGGAATCATTTGATGATTTTCTCACTTGCTTGTCCAGCAGTAGAGGAGCAGTCTGTTCAGCTGGGTGAATTGCTATGTATTATTTCCTAGTTACCACTCTTTTCCTATTAAAATAATTTTCAGTGGAGTGTTTGGATCCAGTTACATGCAATTTTGGAACAAGTTTCAATTGAAAAATCAGAGCAGACATGTTTACTGAT